CTTCTCTGGATCCTTTTTCCTCTGAGGATAGGGGAAATGTATTCCCTTATTGCCACAAGCTGACTCTGTAAACATTCCTCCTCACTGTGCCAATCACACTAGGTGAAAACATGAGCACTTAATCAGTGTTGTCTTCTGGATTATTCCGTTTTTTGTCATCTCCCTTCTTCTGACTGCATTTCCTTCCAAGACAGGTTTAAAGGATTACCTGACAGTTGAGACAGGTGCCTTCCAACTATGATTTGGGTGTGTACCCTCTCCAATCTGGGCTTTGGAGTTCCCACTTTTGTGGCAATAATGCTGACAACCAAAGGGACTGAGATCCATACCATTACAAAACGGGTCATATGGCACACAGCAGCACTTCCTTTGAGAAGAAAATGTTTTCTCCTATGTCTTTCCAAAGCTTTCATTCCACTATGCTCAGGTTTAATTTTCTAAGTGTGTATGGGGCACCTGTTTTCTTAAAAGAGGTGTCCCCATATTAAGATTTAGTCTCAGACTTACTTGCTAGCCATAATCATTAGTGGCAATAGGCCAGGGCCTCCAGAGGTTGATCAAGGCTAAACAGATTCCTATCAAGCAACATTAGGTGGTTAAGACCTGACATCGCCAGAGTTTACCCACCTTTTTTTTTTTTAAAAAAAGTATTTTTCAAGACTAACACATTTAACAACAACTATGGTACAGTCTAATACAAGTCAAACCACTTTGATCCCTTTCTATCTGCTTCAAGGCTATAACCTATAGTAGATTTTTACTGAAGAAAGGCCAAAAACTTCCTTCAAATATCACTGACTATGAACACGTTGTATACAGGAAGCAGGATTTCAGCTATGATACTGCAATTGCACTCCATTTTATCTACACAATGAGCAAAACTGTTTCTAAAAGATGGTGGACTGGATTCATTAAAGACCAGATTAGAAGCATGTGAGCGGTAGCTATCTTTCCTTGACGTGGCCATTGGTGAGATGGGTTCTGTCGTTCAGTGGCTCAGACCCGTTCCTCTGGATGCAATTGTAGCTTGTGACATTGGTGAAATATGTGATCCTGTTTTTCTCCTTTCCCCTAATATTTTCTCTTTCTTCATCCATGTCACTCTCTTCTGTGTCACTTCTCATGTCTTTTTCCATCTACAGAAATAAGAAGCAATACAAACATAGAAGCCTGCACAAGAAGCAATGCTAGCTGAGCCACAGGCTAATCATTCATCCGCTACTTCAGCCACTTGCCTTTGGCACACAGTTCTACAATGTCCCTTCACCTTTAACATCACCTTTAGAAACAGATTCTCGGTCTCTTTGATTTCAGTCTCAGTGGGATCCTAGCTGTGATCCTGATAAACGTTAGGAATTACTACACACGTTGAGAAGCAGCACCAAACCAGTCCAGGACTGAGGACAACTGTGTAAGACTGAGGCAATCCACATCGCTGCTTTGGGCATCAGCATGTGGAAAGATGAGGGGAGGCAGTTAATCAAGCTCGTACATTTTCCCAAAGGGACAAGGAGATAGCTTCTGACCACACTTGGCCTGGGTGGCTGCAGGCTGAGCACACTGCTTTGGACAGTCTGAAAGCGTATGCTTTCAAACAAACCCATGGCTCAACACAAGGCCACTCAATTCTGATTACATTCAGTTTTATGTTCGAGTTTTTCATTGACTGAAATCTGTAATCCACTGCTGTAACTATTTAATCCATTGCCTTAAAAGGAAGGCAAAGATAAAATGACAGTTTAGAAAAAGCAGCCCAGCACTTGCTGGCTTCCCAGGCTGTTTCTACTCTGCAATATACGATGACAGACTTGGGAACAAATTCACGGTGTCACACTCCTTGTTGGAACGAGTGCTCGGAGGCAAAGCAGCAAAGCCCTCCTGTGACTGGAGCTTTGGAAAGTGCTCAGCGGCATGTCAGTTGCTGCATGGACACCTGTAGTTTCCATTTACTCTCTTCTTATGCAGCTACCTCTCGGATCATATTAAGAAGTCTATTTGGTCTGATGCTCTTTCTAGAGATTGCTACACCCAAATGCACACAGGATTTGTAAGAACCTAAACTTGCACTGAATTCAAACTGCCTCCAAGGACAACACGAGCAGGAGATGCTATCTTCCGTGAAAAACCTGGATCCCACGTAATTTGGGAACCGGCAGTTCAGGAATTATGCCGGCGTCTTGATCTGCAGCATGAGGACAAATAGTAATCAATATTCCTGAGTTTATCTATTCATGGCCATAGAACGTGGCTGAGGCTGTAAACCCAGCAAGATTCACAAAGGAACTATACAGCTGCAGGAATTACAATCATGTATCTCAGGTTGCCTGTACGAGGGAATCAAACTCTTACTTCAGGATCTATGCTGAATTCCAATTTCTGGGGATTAGGGGACATCATCTGAGAAGGAGGTGCAGATAATCCTGCAGCCAAAGAGGAAAATTGTGGAGATCAGAAAGGCCCATGAGAAGAATGTGAACTTCTGACTGGAGTGAGAATTTCATGTCTCTCAAATGAGAATATCCTGTATTCTTGCTGATAATGGCTTTAAGCTAGTAAATATCGTCATTGAAACAGATCTGTTTAGGATGATTTTTCTTACTATTCACTGCTCAATATGGAAAGCTCTCAAATATATTTTTGCATCAAATATGGTAGATGATTTTTAGACAAAATTGGAAAAATTCTGGATATGCTTCAGTATTTTTCTCCCTGATGGTTCATTTCTTTCTTACAAGGCTATTTATTACCTCCTAATTTTACACTGTAATAACTGCAAGTGTAATTCAGCCCACACTAGAATTAAGAAAATAAAAAGGCATCTTCAGTTACATCTTAATTTTCTGCCCTGTGAAGTTTCTACTGCCTAATTTGCAAGTAATTTGCTCTGTGCTACCTTAAGGGAAAGCCGATAAAGAAAGCAGGGACGATATTGATGAAGATGAGCCTTTAATGCTTGTTCTCAGTTCCCGTAAGACAGAATTCCCAGTTGGATACAAATAAAGCAACTCATCCTGGGCTATGAGGTCAACTCCCACAAGGCACTGATGTGTTACTCCTGGACTGTGTCCTTGGCATGTGGTCAATCTAATGCCATTAGGTCTTTGGTTTTGGGAAGAATTTCTTGCTGAGCAGCAGTTTGGTCTCACAGGAAATACTACAGGCTACAGTCAGAAAGAGTGGGATGAATTTCACTAAAGTTTATACAGCTGCATCTCAGACATTCATCTAGGGTTCCTCTATGACTGACAGAGATGAACAGCACTACTTGGGTACAATCTTGAACGGATTATGCTTTGGGCATGCCTGTTTACTGCCTCAAAGAGAGTCCAGACAGCTAGTTTAGATAGAAAGATCTACTCTGTAGACATGTACAGCACCGTAAGACAATCCACACAAAACAGGTATTAATGATCTGGATGATGGGGCAGTGTACCCCAGACAAGTTTGCTCAAGACACAAAACCAGAGGAGAGGCTGATATGCCAGAGGACCGTTCTGCCATCTAGAAGGACCTTGACAGGCTGGAAACGCAGGCTGACAGGAACCTTGTGAAGTTCAGCAAGGGCAAATCCTGCACCTGGGGAGGAATAACCCCAGGCACCAGTACATGCTGGGGCCTGAACAGCTTTTCTAAGAAAAACCTGAAGGTCCTGGCAGACACCAAGTTGAACACAAGCCAGCAATGTGCCCTTGCCCCTCCTGGTCTGTATTAGGAAGAGTGTTACCAGCAGGTCGAGCAAGGTGATCCTTCCCCTCTACTCAGCACTGGTGAGGCCACAGCTGGAGTGTCGTATCCAGTTCTGGGCTGGGCAGTGCAAGAGAGACATGGACATACTGGAGAGTGTCCAGTGATGGACTTCAAAGATGATGATGGGGCTGGAACACATCACCTATGAGGAAAGGCTGAGAGAGCTGGGAAGGCTCAGGGGGATGTTATCAATGTATATTAATACCTGAAGGGAAGGTGTAAAAAAAGATGGAGCCAGGCTCTTCTCCGTAGTGCCAAGTGACAGGACAAGAGGCAATGGGCACAAACTGAAACACAGGAGGTTCCTTCTGAACATCAGGAAACACTTTTTTACTGAGAAGGTGATCAAGAACCAGCACAGGGTGCCCAGATAGATTGTGGAGTCTCCAACCTTGGAGATATTTAAAAGCTGTCTGGACATGGTCCTGCGCAACCTACTCTAGGCGACCTTGCTTGAGCCAGGGAATATGGACAAGACTTCCAGAGGTATCTTCCAACCTCAGCCATTCTGTGATTCTGTGATCTTGGTAATACTGTCATAAAAATTTCTCTACTATAAGGGAAGTACCTTTGCACTGGCCTCTCAAATCATGACAACTTTCCCTGCCTTGATTTCTTAGTTTTGTTACAAATGCAAATCATACTGGACCAGGTGTTGGGATCCTTACTCAGATGTTATCGGCTTTGTTCATGGAAATCTCCCCTGGAGTCCAATCCACATTTTTCTTGAATACACGCATCAGAAGTGGATGCAATATTGTAGTGACTCATAAAAATGTTACTAAAAACTTTACCATCCCCTGCGCTCCCAAGCAGTCTAGGTGGACCCTCCCTCCCCATGTGATGTACAGGGGACTACAAACTGATCCATACCGTGCCCTGGAGGATGAACTTGTAGACCATGTGAATAATTAGGGAGGACCAGAAGACATGGAGCAGCTGCAGAATTATCAGGAGAGCATTCACGAAGTAGTATCCAAAGAAGGGTTGGAATATCTCCATGGAGTAATAGTAGGTGTTATAGAGCACTCTGCAAAGAGAGGGAATTGTAGTGGAGAGAAAGTGTGTTATTAGTAGGGCTATCATTAAGCCCCAGAAAGCTTTAGTCACAGAGGAAGTTTCAGGTCAGTTACCTCCCTCACATACATAACACATGTAAGCCAACTCTCATTTTCCCAGCAGAAATAAGCAGGGTAAAGCCAGAGGTCGAGGACTCCTCCTCTGCAGTATACTTCAGGACTTTAAGACTACTCTATGAACTCCAAGGCAGACCACCCCAGTTTACCCCAAAGTAGCTACAACAGCCACGTGGCACTCTGGCCTGTGCAAAGGGCAGGGACATACGCTCAAGGACTGAAAAGCAAAGCCTTTAGCAAAAGATTCAGCACTCAGCTGAATTAGCCTGTCTCTCATTTCTCTTGAGTGCAGCAGACTCACGTGTAGGGGAAAATGACCAGGCGGCTGATGAGGAAAACAGCTGAGAAGATCATAAAGAGGCTGTCACAAGTTTTTTTCCACTTCATGTAATTGAATATCTTGGTTGGCTGGAAGGAGAAAGAACAATAAAACAGCAGGCCAAGACAGTGCATCTGCACATGCTTCAAGAGGAACCACGCCTCTTCCTGGCTCTCTGCAGGGCACCCTAGGGCAGGTCAGAAAAATCAGCATTGAGTTACCTGTGAAACACCATGATGGTTGGCCCACACTGTACTAGACCAAAAGACGCCCTTCGGCTGAAGAGCACCATCGCTAACTACACTTTGCCTGGCATGTAAGTGGTGGAGCTCACCTCTAGGAAGCAATCAGAAGCATCGTGAATCACCATCACCAGCGTACCAATGCGGATGTAATTTGCACAGTACGAGAAACTGATCAGGAAGATGGTTGCAGCATGATGGACCACCTGCTCCTTGAAATCCTGATGAGAAAGCGGACAGCAGAGAATAAAATACATAATGCACCTGCTGCCCTGGTTAAAGCATGCCTTCTGCAAGTAGCAATGAAATCCCTCTAACCAATGACTAAGAAATGTCCCACTATAAGGTCTTGCCCATGTAACTCTTTTACCAAACACATTCCAGAAATGCAGGCACTTAAGTGACCCAGGAATGAAGAGTTTATGGTGTAAACTGAGGATCTTACAACAAGGAACACTCTCTCCCTCCACCAGTAACGGTCTGATGATGGTGCAAATCAGAAGACAGAAGAATAAGAGCCAGTGATTCAGTACAGACAAATTCAACATAAAGCAAGCTTCCTTTCAGCCACAGAACAGTGCCCATACCCACCTCTGCTCTGTGCCCCTGCGCATGCCTACCGGTTTGCACAACCATCTCGTACCCCCAGGCTTGCTGATGGAGACTCACAAATCCCATTTACTTGTAAGGGTATATTCGCAGCCTCCATACACGTGTATGCCCATGTAACCATGCACACCCTGCCTGTCGGGGCACGGGCACCTAGGCACACATGCAGCTTAGCTGGCAGCGAATCATCTCTTTTCCTTCCTCTATGATCAGCATAGCCTAGAAGAGCCCCAGAAGAGCAAGTTTTAACTTTGGATTCTAAGTTTGGATTGAGAACTCTGCAGTAGTTTGCACCTTTCTGTGTCAGGGTTTGTGGTCTCCCAGAGGAGCAGGAAGCCAGTGACTGGGAATGGAAATTCCTGGGAATGAACAAGGACAGAGTCCTCCCAAACCTCAGACTAGCACTATACATGTACTCTTGGAGATCACCCTCCCAATTGTTCGGCTTGGGTCCTGCTTGTGCTTGATTCTTCCCTGAGGCTGCCACTCACCTTCCTCTTCACATCAAAGGGCAGGGTGAAGACCAATGACCAGTAGAAGGAGAGCTCCAGCAGGTAGTACCAGAACAGGGAGGGCTGGAGAGGCTGTGAGAGAGGGAAACAGTGAAATACTCATCAGATAAAGCACAGCAAGGGCTGGAAGTACAGACTCCTTCCTAGGCAAAAGAGTATCAGACAACCAAACCAACAAAACTGGTTCTTGCAGCTTCAGGGGGAAAGACTTCAATTGAACAACGTGGTTACCTACTAAATGTCATCTGTGCTGAGGCAAAAGCAAACAGCAGGGAAAATTCCTCTTTGCCACACCACGTGGAACATTTAGGGAACCACTGGGATTTTTAGGATTTCTTCAGCACTGTGCAGATTCCTGAGCAGTCGGTATAGAGCTTTAAAAACTACGTAAACGATTTCACTGTGACAAAATAGGTAAGTAGTAGCTGAATAAATCATTCCCTTTTGGGGATTCAAGGACACGCTTCAGACACCTTATATTCTATCATAAAATTTTTCAGTTTAATCAAACTAACAGGAGCAAAGTGCAATCCTAGTGTGAACAATAATTTGCTGCCTTCTGGGTAATCCTTCTGGGGTTTTACAGCTGGAAAACTAAAAGCTTAGACACACTCGGCAAGATATGTGCTATTTAACAAGTGATTTTTCACTGTTGTGGCACTATATGGCACCATTAAACCTGAACCTATTTGATAAAAAACCCCTCCTATGACTAAAGTGGCTTTGCAACTACCATTTCTAAAGAATCATGGAGTATGATGTTTCCAAACACAAACTTATCTGATCTGGGCTTTCTCTACCCAAAGTGTTGATTTATAGCTTTCACAGATTTTAGTTTGTTTTCCTTTGTAGCACCAGTGATTGGCCACAAGAGGAAGCACAGCTAGATGCACTGGTGCTACTGGGCGGGGGTGGCAGAATTATTCACATCTCCCAGGCTGGTATGTACTGTTCACACTGTGGAGGTTATCCCAACAGGAACTCTGGATCAGAAGGGTTTTTTTTCCCCCACAGATAAGATTATTTAGGAGAACTGGCATTTCTTTTGTTATTGTCTGTAGCACAGGTCATGGTCTGTTTAGTAGAAATTCTATTTATTACATTCTTTGTTCCTGCTAATACACAGGCTCGTCCTTGACCTTTCTAGCTCTCTGCCAGTGGGACATTGCTAGCGCTGGTTTTGGTCTTTTCTGTTTGTTAGAGATGTTGGGAAGTGCGCGTATTTGGTTTACATGGCAAGGTTTTGGTAGCGAGAGGGCTGTAATAAGATGCCAGAAGCTGCCCCATGTCCAACAGAACCAGTTCCAGACAGCTGCAAGACAGACCCACCACTGGCCAAAGCTGAGCCCATCAGTCATGGTGTTAGCACCTCTGTGACAGCCTATTTAAGAAGGGGTAAAAACTGCTGTGCGACATCATCTGGGAGAGAGGAGTGAAAATATGACAGGAACAGCTCTGCAGACACCAAGGTCAGTGAAGAACAAGGAGGAGGAGGTGCTCCAGGTGCAGGAGCAGAGATTCCCATGCAGGACCCCATGTCAGAAGAGGCAGATGTGATCCTGTGGAAAGCCTGTGCTGGAGCAGACTCCTGGCAGGACCTGTGACCTTGTAGAGAGGATCCCATGCTGGAGCAGGTCTTCTGTCAGGTATTATGACCCCATGGGGGACCCACGCTGGAGCAGTCTGCTCCTGAAGTACTGCATCCCCTTGCAAGGGCCCACAGTGGACAGGTTCATGGAGGACTTCTCCTGCAAGTGGGACCCTACACTGGAGCAGGTGAAGAGTGTGAGGAGGAAGGAGCATCAGAGTCAACGCGTGATGAACTGACCACAACCCCCATTCCCTATCCTCCTGTGCTGCTCAGGGGGCAGGAGGTAGAGAGGTCAGGAGTGAAGCTGACACCGGGAAGAATGGAGGGGTGGGGGGAAGGCATTTTTAGACTTGTTCTTACTTTTACTATCCTAGTCTGATTTGATTGGCAATAAATTAAATTAATTTCCCCAAGACAAGTCTGTTTTGCCTGTGATGGTAATTGGTAAGGGGTTTCCCTGCCCTTACCTCAACCCATGAGCCCTTTGTCCTGTTTTCTGCCCCCTGTCCCGTTGAGGAGGGGGGAGACATGAGCGGCTTGGTGGGCACCTAGTGTCCAGCCAGGGTCAACCCACCCCAGGGTGCTGTTACGAGGGCTTGGATTGTTTCTGAAAAGGCATGTACTCCAAATGCACAGAACAGGACATAAGGATCTGAGTGATCCTTTTAGTCTCACATTCCTATTCCAGCACCACCCGTCTGTATGGTTTGACTTTTACACCAAACTACAGATTTGCCCCTAAAATTTCTGCCTTTGAGCAGTGGCGGATCACTTGCAGACGCAGCTTGAAAGACACTACCTCATTCGTCACTCGTTTGTTCTGTTTCCTGTGGCTCACGTTGTTAAAATTGTGCATTACAGTTCCCTTTATGGGTTTGCAACTTCAACGTACAGTCACGGGGTTTTGCTCTAACTGACTGCTGGATCAAAAAGCCCTGGAACACAGGCAGTCTTCTCTTTGGGTTAGTACTGGGATCACATTCCCTTCAGCCTCCTCTTCAATTAATGAAAAACTATTTCCTACACAGGAAATTCTAGCACTGTAAAATCCTGTGCATGGTAGCTCCCGACATGATAATGCAGGAGATTACTATCCTGCTAGAAACACTTACCAGCTGCTCTCATAGGACAGAGAAACCTCTTCCAAAGATGGAATCAGATTTTTCACTTTAATGAAATTTAGCTCTCTTTACTGTGTCTGCTGTGGCATCCACAGCAGGGGGGTATAGCAAGGCTTCTGCTATAGAACAGACAACAGTTGTCTTCTCTAGAGAATTCAGGGCACATAAAAACATACAGGGAAAGGCAGAGCATGCAATGGATCCTGTGCTCAGTGGTGAAGCCCCATTCTAACTCTTTCAATTTCTCAAGTTATAGGAGTAGGAATAGCAAGGGAGGCAGCTGGGCAAAAAAGGACCTGGCTTTTGGTTGCTATCTTTGCTCCTTGTGTTGATGAACAGGGTGCAGATTTTGTGCTTAGCCGGGAATTTTCATTGAGGTTATTCTAGTCTGGGCTGGTAAGAGATGTACACTTTCCAACCCACTGGATAGCTTCTCACAGTGCTGTTGTGAAAAAACTCAGAATGTACATTGCAAAACTGTAAGACAGCATCCTCCCAACCTAATGGGACTGATGCTGTACTGCTACTGACCATACTGCCAGTTCCACTGGGAAGCAAACTCCTTGGGGAGCTCTGTGGACATGATTCTTCAGTACAGCTGAAATACATAGCATTCAGACCATGTCCTCTGCTCCACTGAAGTCTCCACCACTTCTCCTCAGGCAACATAACCTTCTCTGGCCTCAGTCTCTTCTAAACACTAAACAACCTTGCAGCATTCCCATTTTTCAGTTTCGTGGCTCACCTGGTCAGAAGTCTCACTTTCCCTTTATTTCTGCAGTCTCCTGCTTTCCTGACTCATCCTCTGTTGTGTTTAGATTACACCAGATACAAAGGCGCTCTCCCTTGAGGAGGATCTGGCTTTGAATACTTAGGGCTCATGACTGAATTTAATTCAGTGCTCTCTCTCTTATCACTAATATAAGCCGATTTTCAAAAAGGTATCGAAAGACAATACATGATTTATAACAGCAATTTTCCCTCTTGCATGACTCACCTGTTGAGGATATCCTGTCCAGCACTCTCTATGGTCCCAAAGCCAAGGCTTCTGGAGAGAAAATGCAACATGAACGTGAGAATGCCAGAGGAATTTGTCTCTTATCAACTCACTCCTTTAGTTTGTTACTGCTACAGACTTTGTTGTGCTTTGTTACAGGTAGAGCTAGTCGCACTGCCTGGAATTCAGTTGCCAAGTGACTGCCACTACAAGAACTTGCAGTTGTGCTGAAATTTCACAAGCTGTTTAGCCCAGTTCCAAACAAAATGGCTCAGGGAAGATTTCTACCAACTTGTTGCAGCCTTCTACAAGTTTGGGGTGGTTGTGGTTATGTTTTTAATATATTAAAATATTCTTACAAGTATTTTGTTAAGAATCTCTGTGGTTTGGACAACAATACTTAAACGTGTTAAGAATGCTGAAAATTTGCGTGTCAGGAATGTGGTTTTTCCTCTAACAGTGAGGATCATGCCGCAGTCTGCTAAGTAATGAACCTCTGAAAAGATCGTCCTTTGTTCACACTTCATGTAAAATTGGTAAGTTTAGAACTTTGTGCTTCTGAACTTTCATAGAAACGTGGCAACTGAAGTCCCCAAAAGTTCTGCCTGCATGGAGCATGCTCTGGTCCAGGTTTGATGAGAGCAAGCATTTCCTAGAACATACAGTGATGGAACAGATTCTATGCCACATCTGTAAGGGTAGTTTTCTCTAACAGTCCTAAAGGCTCCAGTTTATCAGAGCTAGGAGCAAGAAGGCAACATTTCTTCTTCTCACACTGAGCATCTGCTAATGTACGAGCCACTCAGAAGGGAAGCAGCAAGCAGGGGTTTTTACGATCAGTTGTACTTATGTGTAGACAGTCTCCTGCTGGCTGGGAGTAGGATTTACAGCAAATACAAGTACAGAACCAGGAGATGTGAAAGAATCAGAGAGGACAAAGCAAAAGCTCTGAAGCAACTATGGCACACCGTGTTACCTAAACTAGAAAGGAACCCCAGATCCCTGAATTTCATTATTCCTCTCAGCCAATAAGGCTATTTTCTGGTGGGCTACTGTGAGATAACTTTCCATTGCTACATGCTATTTCACTGACTCACGGGGCAGAGGTTTTTTGCCAGAAGTCTAAAGCTACCAATATAGAATTTAAACATTTGCTTTTTTCTAAAGAAAGAAGGGTGTTTCACAAAGGCAAATGCATGGTAAAATACTTACAAAGTAAACATGCAAAAGTCAGGAAGTGTCACATGCAAACATGCCCTGTCACATTAATCCTTCTTTTTAATGTAGTTGTTTTGGTACAATTTTAGATAACAGAATAACATGCTATTTGCTACAGGATCTAGAGGTGCTGTCTGTAGGACAGATGCCTTCTTTTTTCATGAAAACTGGAAGACGTGTACTGAATAAAGAAAAGACCTTCAGAAAAAGTGAAGACGATCTTTCATTCCTAGAATGGTCAGATAATGTGCAGAAGAACAGGATTTTACCCCTTCTCTTGCCGCAGGGTTTTGTACTATGCTAAGCAGGTCATCCATAGCAAACTTTCAAAGCTGGCCTCAAAGAATAGCCTTGTACTTTGATGTACAGATCCACAAAACACTGCAGTTAGGATTTAGATACTTTCAATCCTCTGCCAGCTCATCCTGTAATACGCATATGCCTAGAGTACCTTAAATTCTGACTTGAAATTCAGTGTCAGTTCAAAAGTTCTTCACTTCTTACAATGAGAAGTTACGAGCATAGTTTGTGCCTGCTGTCTTGGGATTTGCAGGTTTCCCATTACTTAACCCCTCAGATGGTACTGGTGTAGACTTTTGCAAAGCTCACTTAGGGAACAGGATTCAGCAAAAGAGCCACGGGAACCTTTAAAACACAGCCAGAGGATGACCAGCGCCCCTGGTGCCAGTCTAGTGAACACAGCTCCGTGATTAGAGCATACATGTAGCTTCCATTACCTCTTCTGCCTGTTGAGGCAGTTCAGTTCGTACCTCCTTATTCATCAAATCAGAGAAAAGGCAGAGGCATGAGCCTGAACCAATCACACCTTGGGTAAGTAAAAGAAAATTAATAAATCAAACAATTAAATTGCAGTCTATGCTCCAAAGGAAGCCTGAGTTTTTTATCTTAAACAGTTATTGGATACAAGACACAAAACAGGCCCTGCAGCTTCCATCTCAGGTAAGTTTTCCATCTCTGACCCCACAGAAATGTGGGGGTTTTTCTGGGTTTTTTTGGTGTGTTTTTTTTTTTTTTTTTTAAACACAATCCCAATTGTCTTCTGCTTTGCCAGAAGAGAAAACCTCTTGGTTTTGAGCTGGAGTTTTTAAAATAAGCACGGTCCAATATGTTTGTGGTCTCATTAGTGAGCTGTGCAGAGGATATGCACTGACCTGGTGGGAAAACCTCTATAGGAAGGTCTGAAAGGACACATTTGACAACAAAATATGCCACTCTTGCAGGCACCGGGTAGGTAGAACAGCAGGTGGCACTGGTTGTGTACTCACATCGTACAGGACAGCAAGTCCAGTGAAGAAAGAAATGATGTAAAATGTAAACCTCCAGCTACAAACAAACAAAACAAAGTATGTTAGGATCCCCTTCATTAACCACCAAGCTGCACTTTGTGTATCAATCACACTCATTCAAGGTATGACACTATTAAGGTAAAGACATACATTAATATGCTCGAGGTTTGCCGAGATCAAAACAGGAGTGGCTCTTTACATGTACTAGCACACTCAACAGACTACAAAGAGAAATTCTGCTTTAGAGTTGGCAGAAAATATGGGAATCCCACTGACTCCCGAGTATCACCCAGATAAACATCCCAAACCCTCCCAGCAGATGCATAGGTAAAAGTCAAACAACGCCAATGTCTCTCCTAGACTTTTGGAGATTAGGCATGCTAAATTCATTATCATGTAAAATAATTAATTACTGTCATGTCTGGTCTCAGTCAGGAGCTGGTAATGATTTATCCACATTAAACTCACACAGAAGTACATATAAAATATTTGCCATGTTCAGTGGACAGAGGCAGGTCACACTGAATATAACACATATAGTAGGGAATGAGGGGAATTTCACCCCAACAGAATAAACAACTTAAGAGACTAAACACAAGAAATCTTCAAAGGAGCAAAACTGTCTAAACCAGTCCTTTAATTTCCAAAAATCTGCATAGCAAATGAGAAGTAAGTACATTTTGGGAGAGACTCCAGCAAAGAAACCCCCAGGACCTCAAAGACACACATAAACTGTACAAAGCTACTACCTCACACTGGAAAGACATTCTTTCTAGAGACTGCAAATGGTGACAGAGGGCAGGTGGAAGGATACCATCCTAGGTGAGCTGATTCAGAGAAGAATCGACTGTTTACTATTTACTGTTACTATGTACTGCAAGTCAGCTGAGTGGTTAGATTTCATCTTGATAGAAGCAGATTAAGCATGGTTGTTTACAACCCTTTGCCTATGGATTTTGCAAACATTTCTAACTGCAACTATCTGGAATATTATAAATAAATTATACACGTCTTTTTTTTTCTTTTTCAATTACGGTTTTTAGGCAGGCGTTTTGAATTAGAGGTTGAGTGCTAAATGGAGCATGAGGTGATTAGCTCAAAGTTGATGTCTACCCTATCGATACGCACTTTTAGACAGATGAATAGCACTGCCGGTATTTAATGATTTCTTTTATCTCTACGGCTTTCCTGAGAGAATCTACTTCCTTACATGAACAACAGAGCAGCGACTAGTAAGTAAAGCATTTCAATCAAGCTCAGGAGACTCCTCCTTTACTGTGGAAAGCTTAGCCAGGACTAACATTCACAGAACTGGCTGACATGAGATTTATTTTATGCCTCCGCATAAGGAGGATTTTCACACAGGTGTTTCCAAGAAGAATTTTACTCTTTGGAAAACACAAGCTTTCACATAGGACCCTTTTTCTGCCATTAGAAGAGTGTGCTGGTTTTTGACTTTCAGGATGATGAAGTAGGCTGACAGCAGAATACAATCTAGCCCACTGCTCATGACTTTTGAAAGCAACAGACTGCAAACAGCTGCAGAAAAGATGTAGCAGAAGGAATCAGCTTGCAGTGAAGCAAAGGGAAGCCATGGGAAAGGCAACAGATAGGCTGTTTTGGAGGGACCGAAACAGCAGCAAAGCAGCAAGAAGCATTAAGATGCAAACCAGTAAGGAGTTCTTCAGGTAAATTGTGTTTCAAAGCAGAAAGCCAGTCTTCCAAAGTCAGAAACAGAGACTATATAAGGAGTAAAGGTGAGACAGGAGTAAAAGTAGACTTGGGAGTGAAAATAAAGGGGGAAAGCCAGGAACGTTTCAATAACAGAGGAGCAACAGAATTGCAGAAGAATCAGGTAGGGCAAGGAAGACCCAGGATGCTCTCTGCATAGGGATGGTGGGCAGGCTGGGATGCAGCGGAGCTGGGAGGCTCTCTGCGTAGGGGTGGTGGGCAGCCTGGGAGGCAGTGAGCTGCCTGCAGAGCTCAGCTCCAGTGAAAGGCTCCTGCTGCTCACGGCTTGTGCTCCCTCTCACCAGGCCTCGCAAAACTTCTTCGACAGGCTGGGTCGGTCTGTGTTCCTCCGGCGCCGGAACCACCTCTCCACCTTCCTCACCGGCAAGTCGCACTGCTTGGCTAAACTGATCAGCTCACCCTGGAAAACAGTTGAGGCAGCAGGGTTCAGATCCAGGTTCGAAGGTCAGATGGGACAATATGGGCATCTCACCTGACTCTCCACAGAGCCTAGCTGGAGTCTCCTGGCAGGCCCAAATCTGTTCAGGCTAAGGCCTCTTTCAGAAAGTTATCTGTTCTTAGTGTAAAGACCTCAGAGAGTAGAAAATCTTTCCATTGCCCCCATAAGCAACAGTTATTAATGCTAAATGTTGAAACTTTAATTTTTTTATATGAAATTCCCCAGTTTCAACTTTCAAACTCTGGCCTTGTCTCCTCACAGGAGTTTATCATCGAATCACTTCCTCACCCTGTCCCTTAAATCTGTCACTCTAAGAATGATTTACTGCAGCTTAAATAATTTTTCTACACTGAATCTTGTCATGCCTTTCAGCATTCTGATGCAGTATCAGCCAATAACCTGACTGATGTCATGAGCAGAAGCAACACCATCTTCCTATCAGATATTCTCCTGTTGTGGTAAACCTGTTAGGGATAATTTTTCAATACATTACCCAGAGAAATCCTGCAATTACCTTCCTCCTTGTCCTTAGGCTCTTAAGAGTTTAGCACGCAATGTGAAAAAAGTTTGTCATGTTTTATATTCCTTGTGGAAGTGTCACCATGGATAACCTTATTTTTTAAGTAAAGCAATAGTTTTTCATGGAGTGCATTGACCTTAGTGGTATCATATGAGAGCTACTTAACATAGTGTGAGCATGTTGTACAAAAGTATGTTCATTACCCATAGTGTGAGCATGTTGTACAAAAGTATGTTCATTATCCATTTTCAGATGTGTTTCTTTCCACTCTTAGTGACTCCCGTTCTTGTGGTGGAGACAAATGCAGATGCGGATTTATATTCTCCAACTGCTCCATAACGTGGAAATCCTTCCAAGGAGAAGGCTGCTGAGAACAGTAAAAGCTCATCTTGTCTTGGACAATTAAAAGCTGACTCATAAGCAGGTGTTCGAGAGCTCATGGGAGAGGGAGGAAGCTAGAAGACTGGCTGAGGTGTAACCAGTGAACAGAGAGGGTAAGGCAGCAGCCTGTTGCACCATTCTTGTTCCACGTCACACTGCTGTCAGGAGTCTTGTGGTGAGGATACACTCAGATATCACAGATTCAGTGCAATGTGGGTGCAGGGAGAGCTGTGGGGAAAACCTGCTTGCAAAGCTATGCCTGGAGTTAGATCTCTGCGACAGGAGTAGTTTTACTGAGAAATGTGTGGATTTTGCAAACAGGCAAGAGGAAGGTCAGGGACCACCACACTGCCAAGTGTTCCTTCCCACTGCTGGGGAAAGGCTGGCTGCACCACCCAGATGAATGCCTGCATTTTTATTTTAGCCTCCATTCTTATGAGCGTGAGTTCAAGGCAGCTGATGTGACAGGGATTAAATAATATATAAAAAGAAGCCATCACAGAATGCCTGGGGTTAGAAGGGACCTCTGGAGGTCATCTGATTCAACCCCCCCTGCTCAAATAGAACTACCTAGAGTTGGTCACCCAGGACCATATCCAGACGGCTTTTGAGTATCCCCAAGGATGGAGAATCCATAACCTCTCTGGGCAACCTGTTTCAGTGCCTGGTCACCCTCACAGTAAGAAAGTGTTTCATGATGTTCAGACCCAGGCAGAGCCTCCTGTGTTTCAGTTTGTGCCACGTATATAAAGCAAACACAATGACAACTCCTGTTACTTCTTACTTCCTTTGGGAGAACAGTTTCCTGTCCATACAATCATAGAATGGTTTGGGTTGGAAGGGACTTTAAAGACTACCTGGTTCCAACCCCCCTGCCGTGGGCAGGGACACCTTCCACCAGATCAGGTTGCTCCCAGCCCCATCCAGCCTGGCCTTGAGGGACCCCTCGGGGGGGGGGCCCAGCCCCAGCCTCTCTGGGCAGCCTGTGCCAGGGCCTCACCACCCTCACAGTAAAGAATTTCTTCCTGACATCTAATCTAAATCTGCCCCACTTCACTTTGAAACTGTTAGCCCTCATCCTATCACTACACCTCCTGATCAAGAGTCCCTCCCCACCTTTCCTGTAGGCCCCCTTGAAGCACTGGAAGGCCACTACAAGGTCTCCCCAGAGCCTTCTCTTCTCCAGGCTGAACACCCCCAACTCTCTCAGCCTGTCCTCACAGGGGAGGTGCTCCAGCCCCTGAGCACCTTTGTGGCCTCCTCTGGACCCACTCGAGCAGGCCCATGTCTATCTTGTGCTGGGGACCCCAGAGCTGAACGCAGTACTACAGGTGGGGTCTCACCAGAGCAAAGGGGGACAATCCCCTCCCTCCACCTGCTGGCCACACTTCTCTTGATGCAGCCCAGGGTGCGACTGGCTTTCTGGGCTGCGAGCACACATTGCTGGCTCAGATTCAGTTTTTCATCCACCAACTCCTCCAAGCCCTTCCTCCGGCAGCTGCTCTCAATCCACCCATCGCCCAGCCTGTGTTTGTGCTTGGGATTTCCCCGACCCAGGTGCAGGACCTTGCACTTGGCCTTGTTGAACTTCATGAGTTTCACACAGGCCCACCTCTCCAGCCTGTCAAGATCCCTCTGGATGGCCTCCCTTCCCTTCAGCATGTCAGCTGCATCACACAGCTTGGTGTCGTTGGCAAACTTGGTGAGGGTGCACTCAATCCCACTGTCCATATCGCTGATAAAGATCTTAAACAGCACTAGTCCCAACAGCGACCCTTGAGGGTCACGACATGTCCCTGGTCTCCACTTGGACATGGAGCCGTTGACCACAACTCTTTCAGCGTGACCATCCAGCCAATTTCTTATCCACCAAGAGGTTCATCTGTCAAATCCATTTCTCTCCAATTTAGAGACAAGGATGTTGTAGAAGTTTGGGACTAAAATTTTTTGAATGCTACCTATAGAAATTTGCTACTCCCACGTGTTCAGAAGCAGAATTGATAGCTGATGGCATTTACATAGTGACCCCTGTGCCTGGCTGGTCTCAGGTGGCCAGTGCTACAGTGGTTCCTGCTGCTTTGTTGAGCTTCCAAATGAGTGGCATTACCAAACTTCAGGGTTCCAAATGTGAATTTATTTGGCTAAAGTCATAAGGTCTAAATCTAGAGGAAAGGAAGAAAAGACTCACCTCTGCAGGGTTCTTGCAGCACGTACTGTAGAATGTTTCCAGCACGGGGTTGGGCTGAGCTTTTGGTCTCTGCTTGTCTCTCACACCCAGTTTGCTACTGAGGGGCAGGGCTATGGCTCTGCAAAAGAAAAGATAAAGGTTCAGCCAAAAACAGAACAGTGATTTCTGATGTTGCAGCATTGTTAAAACATGACGTAGTACATAACAGCTGCCTTACACATTTTGACTCTAAGTACAGGTATCAAGTCAAGCTAATAGGATAGATGAAGAAACTGAGAAGTAAAAAACCAAATTTACAGCAGAAACAGTGGGACTTGTATTCTACCGTCCTGAGCTCTGTGCTCCAATATCCAAAATTACATGAAGTTTGGCAATGCTATATCCTGCTTTGTCAACTTTTGAATCCACTGTGCTTGAGTGTCCAGGATTATAGCATGAAGGTCAGGCTTGCAGACAGCCATGATACCTATCATTGGTCTCCTGCTTGCTTGCAGCTTATTCAGAGTACCACATTGATGATAAGGCATAAATTTTGTTCACTGCTCAATCTAGAGCACTGAACAGACAAGGCATCCACTTGAACTAAAGGTCTGGCTTAGGATCAAGAGGAAGGCTCTAT